TGTGCGATGTCTCTCGTCGCGACCCGTCTCCGATGACGCGCCACGCGAAACCCAGCGCCCCCCCCCGCCCCGCGCGCACCCCAGCGCCTGACGCCCCCCCACAACTTCGTCACGCCGAAGAGTCGTCACGCCCGAACGAAGAATAAACGTCGCTCTCGTCGTTCTCCGCTCGTGTCTTGCGGGGTCGTTTCGGCAGCGACCCCCCGACGGCGTAGAGACCCCCCGACGAACGTAGACGTTCAGCGGAGAGACGCGGGCGCGCACGGGTTTTTGCTCGATCTGCACGAAGCAAACGACTTCGCGACGGTCGGCCGTCGCGCAGGACGCGTCCGTACCCCTGCCCGTCGTCCCCTCCACGCGTGGACACGTGGGAGATTTGATACATTCTCCCCATCATCGCGGGCGCGCGGGGTGCGTTCGGACCAGTTGGCACTGGCAGGCCTGCTGCAGACCGTCGTCTCGCGCGCTCGCCGCGCGGACTTCGCGGCCGCGCGGCGCGCTCTCGAGACCTCGCGCGGTCCCCCGGAAATACCACCTCGTGTTTTTACTCTCTCCGACCCTCCCGCAGCGAAGACTCGCCCCTCCCCAGGAGCCCTGGGCGGCCCGAGAGAGCGACTTGAAGCCTACTTGAACTTCAAGTTACCGGCTCACATCGAGCGCACGAGCTGTCTGACCAAGGGGATATAAATCTAGACTAGACTATTTATTACCCCTTGGTCTGACGAGCGAGCTGAACTCCGCCACTGGCAGTGTTGCAACACGCCCTGTTCACCGCAAGCACGGGCCGTGTTGCAACGAGCATGTTCCTCAAATTCCTCGCCATTGCGGCGTTGCAGGCCCACGGTCTCGTGGCGCCGAAGTCGTCGCTGCGCGCGCCCAGGAAGCCCGCGACGGTCGTCGCGGCGCGCGGCGGCGGCGGCGGCGTCGCCGTCGCCGTGCGGCCGGAGCGGGCGCTCAAGCCTTTGAGCTTCATGTTCGTGCTGTCCGTGGCCGTCGTCGCGCTGGCGCCGGCGCCGGCGCTCATCGACGCGCTCGGCAGCGAGCGCGCGACGGCGCTCCTGGGCGTCGTGGGCTCGGCGTCCGCGGGCTGCGAGATCCTGCTCGCGCCCGTCGTCGGCGCGCTCGCCGACTCCCAGGGCCGCAAGCCCGTGCTGCTCGGCGTGCTGCTCGCCGTGCTCGGCGCGAACGGCCTGGCCTGCGCGTTCCCGTCCGTGCCCGCGCTCCTCGTGACAAAGTTCGTCGGCTCGCTCGTCGTCGGCCTCTACTTCCTCGCGTCCGGCGCGATGCTCGGCGACGCGTACAAGGCCGACCCGGGCCAGCTCGCGGCGACGTCGGGCCTGATCTTCGCGCTCGTGAACGTCGGCTTCGCCTGCGGCATCAAGCTCGGCAGCCTGCTGCCGGGGAAGACGCTCCGGTCGCTCTACGGCGCGGCGACGGTCGCGTCGGCCGCCGCCGTGGCCTTCGCGGCGG